ATGAGCTCCTGCTGCCCTCCATCTGTGTTATAAAGAGAAAGTGCAAGTATTGGCTCTTGCTGTAACACCTCCTTCCAACATACATCCAATCAGAGGGAAGAGCAGCAAAGCAGAGCTGCCTGTGTGAGTCTGTGCTCAGAAACAGAAAAGCACAACGCAAGAATGCTCCACAGTGTCTCAGGTATGTCCATCATCATCACCAGCCACACATGCACGCTTGCATCTGGAAGTTTACCGAGGTTGTGGTGTTAGATTTTGTGTCCGCTAAACAGCTATACAGCAGCATTGAGGGAAACGTAGTCTCTTGTGCAAAAAGAACCATGTGTCAGAGCAACTGTAATGCTGATGTAATATGTTACGTAGGTATGATCTGCTGTATTCTCTGAGAACATGCCTGTGTTGAATATGTGTGTGAGGTAATTATAAAATCCTTAGACCTTTCATCTTTGTGCACATTACACAATGCAAGTGCTGTCCTTCAGTCTTTGACAGTGTTATTTATCTTCATTGCTGCTGCTCTTATTTCCAAAATGCATTATGTAGTATTTATTTCATTTTAGGCCACCAAGATTTTTGATAACTTTAAGTCCTTCAACTCAGTGTTTTGCAAAAAGGAGAGTGGGTAGAGGAGGAGGGTTACTGGAGATCGATGGCGACCTGGTACAATGGTTTAGAATCTGTGTCTAGAAAAAATCAATTTGTTTGATGTGTCTAGTAAGTTCATCACATATTTAATTTAGCTATTTTAGACAGATAGCATCTTTGTCAGGTTAGGGCAGTGGTTCCCAAATATATATTTGTATATATATGGCCTGCATGTATTTATTAATTAAAATGTCAGCTTTGGATTTTGCTTATTTCTTCCGTGGAAATCCCACTTAAAGAAACACTCCAAACCACCATCGCATTTTTAATGTTGCACATACCCAGAGGTGCTCGCACCACACTTTAGATATCCCTGGGTTAAGGTTAGCCACAGTATGTCATGGCAGTTTTATTAAACTGAAAATTGTGAAGTAAAGCCCAGGAGTCTGTAAGTAAGCCATGAGTTTTATAAACATCCTTTTTGTAGATTGATTGCTGAGAATTCGACGAGATGTAAAGTAAGAGATGTAGCGCCTTTGCGAGAGATAAAAAATTAAGTGAATGTTCAACCTCATGTATAAAACCTGTTTCACCAGGCATGGGGTCTGAGTCACATTTGGTAGACTGATGTCAGTGATCAGTTAGAGAAAGAGATGTGTTCTGTGTTAGCACCCTTACCTAAGCCTCTTGCCCATTAGCAACCTAAGGATGTAGTGCCATCAGACTCCCTGATTGTGGGTATCTTATCCCAGGACAAACCAGATCTCCTGTGAAGTGGAAAAGAAAAACTCCCACTGTGTCTATAGTCACTACTATAGTCACACAATATGTACCAGTGAACAGGTAAAATAGGCGTGAGTAATAGTAGTAAGAAAACATGGTGAGGCATCTTTTAATTACTATGGCCCACGCCTGTGGAACGGCCTGCCAGAGAGCCAGAGGGTCGCAGAGGCTATTTTTATGTTTTTTGAAGGCAGGCTGAAGACCAACCTTTTTAACCTAGCTTTTAATTGATTTTAACTTATTCCTTCTACATCCCTTTAACTTTGTATCTCTGTTTAATTAGATTATGTAATGCATTTATTTCGGTGTTGCTTTGGCCCAGAGACAATGTCTCTGTCATTGGTGTGGAACCCCAGAGTTCACCTCTTGGGCATGTTCGAATCCCGGTTAGGGCGGTTGGTACCTTCCAGTGGACTCACCACCTGCAGGAAGGTTTGAGGGGTTGGTACGGTGCAGTGTGATTTGGATGGCGACTGCTGCCCCCGCGACCCGGTAACGGATAAGCGGATGAAAATGTATGGATGGATGGATGGACCTCTCTTATTGCTTCGTCATGCCACAGCTCCAGTGTTTTTCCTCTCCTCTTGGGGAGCCCTCCACACTGGAAGTTGTGGCTGCCTGTGGGAACATCGCCCCAGGGGCTGCCCTACATGGGCTGCCCTACATGGGCTGGACGAGCGCCACATGGGGGCATGTTGGCCACGGTGTCAGCTTCTCACTTCTGTCCTGTTCGGGTTAGTCCTTGAGATGGCGACCACAAGCGCCCTTGTAGATGCTGTTGGCAAAATTTCCTGGTGTGGATGGTTCCCCGATAAAGCTTTCTTCACTTGAATTCTCAGTTGCCAGCCTTATTGTGTGAGTGAGTGAGTGAGTGAGTGAGTGAGTGAGTGAGTGAGTGAGTGAGTGAGGGAGTGGGTGAGCAATTCATTGAGCTTGTATCTATGTGAGGGGGTTGGGTCTTTTAACCTTGTATCTGTACAGCACTTTGTGCTGCATTCATTGTATAAAAAGTGTTATATAAATAAGTAAAGTTAAAGGTAAAAACAAGGATTAGGATTAATAATCATGGTAAATTGAATCAATGTTATAATGTTGATTCAAGTTTGAAAGACTAAATAAAGTAAATATAATTCTGATAGTACATAAAGTTAGTGGAAGATAACAGCTGAAGTAAAAAGTAAAACGATAACATAGATTTAAGTAGTAAGTAATTATGGTAGTAAAAGAGAATAAATTAGGTGAATATGTTTCTAATTTGGAGTAAAGTTAACGTTTGAAAACATACATTTCAGTCAGAATTTGACAGACAAATGTGGGGTTTGATTATGTAGATGGCAGTCAGAGATTTTTTTAAAAATAGCCTGTAAATTGTCAATGGAATGAATGAGTAACAGAGCGCTTTATATGAAAACTTATGTCCTGTATTGAGCTGAGAAGGGAGTTAGCAACCCTACATGTACTGATAAAGTTTTGTTTTTTTGCACGACGCACTCTTACTATCACCCACAAACGCACATTTGAGTACTAATTTAACCCTCCCGTTGTCCTTCATATGTATGCACCAGAGGTGGGACCAAGTCATTGCTTTGCAAGTCACAAGCAAGTCTCAAGTCTTTGCACTCAAGTCCGAATAAAGTCTCAAGTCAAAATAGGCAAAGTCCGAGTCGAATCCAAGTCAAGACTGAAAAGTGTCAAGTCAAGCCCCAAGTCCTGCCGTTTCTGTTTCGAGTCCTTTTGAGTCCTTCCGCTCACTGCCACTCGTTTTTTGTTGACCATCTCGTAGTTTTTAAATCCGAACACCACCACCTTTGGTATCATTTTCTCTGACCCACGCATTGTTCAACAGCTCTTTCTCATTGGTTGTCCCGCAATTTGATTGGCTCGATATTATTGCGTCAAAACAACGTGGGTCTAATTTGATTGGATGTTGTGCCGACGGCACATACACACACAGATACGCACACACGTACACAATGAGAGATACGGAGCGCTCCTCAATAACTTACTTTATAATCTTTGGGTTTTGGAGAAAGTATCGAGTCTTGTCAAGTCAAAGGGCTCGAGTACAAGTGAAGTCACGAGTCATTGATGTTAAAGTCAAAGTCGAGTTCCAAATCTCTTTACATTTTGTCAAGTTGAATCTAAAGTCATCAAATTGATGACTCGAGTCTGACTCGAGTCCAAGTCATGAGACTCGAGTCCACACCTCTGGTATGCACCCAGCATCCTCGTGACCTGGTTTGCATCTTGTCCCAGAATCAGAATGTAAGCACCGAGTCACCTAGACCCAAAGGACAAGACGAGGGTTAACCACTTGAAACACAGGCATAAAGCAGCAGAGGTTTCAAACCTCTCCATGCTCGGAGGGTCGTCTCGCATCATGTTTCCCAGGAGTTTACGAATAATGTCTATTGACTTGGGGTGCGAAGGTTTGGGAACTAAAATATGGGTCACCAGAAAAAAAGTTTGGGAAACACTGTTTTAGATAATGATGACACACTAACACCTCACCAAGTATTTTTAAGTTATTTGACAAAATTGTGTTTACATTTTTAGAGAAACGTAAATATGCAAAATCAAATAATTACATGGATACAATATAAGGACTCCCATTTTCTGTTCTGTTGCCTGTTAACTATGCAGAAAGCTTGATTCATTTTTTATATTCTCTATATTTACTCCATGTTTATACTGTATATTGTCTAATGTGACAAAATCCTTACTCAAGTGAAATAGCTTTATGCGACCCAAAGGGGGAAAAAGGCACTTAGCATTTTTCTGATTGATACCCTCACTTTAGGTCAGTGGTTCTCAATAATTTTCTGTCATACCCCTCCAGGGTACAGACATTTTTAATGCCCCCTCGTGACCCAAAGGGGGAAAAAGGCACTTAGCCTTTTTCCGATAAAATGTATTTTGTACTTATTTGTACAAACAACTGTATGTCCTGCTGCCACCTAGTGACTTGAGGCTTGTTTACCATTCAAGAAAATGGCATGATGGCATTATTTATCATGATGCTAACCAATACATTTATGTTAGTGCACTTAAGATTACCATAGTAGTGTTGACACTGACTGACGTTAACAACTGATCAAGACTGTATCTCATTGGAGTTTGTGTAAAAACAAAACAAAATGCAGTCTGCTTCATGGTGTGGCACGTATTCCATTATTTGCCGACAATTCATAACTGCTGCAGCACAGAGTGTCTCAGTGTGCTGTGTCTCATATTTTCTACAGGGACATTTTCACAATGTGTGGGAGGCAGATCTGCAGTCTTACATAATATTACATTCTCTACAATGACACTGGATTGAGCTGGTATTCAAGCACTTCTTTTTCACTTTCTGCACATCATGAACACATGCATGCACAGATGGACACACACATAGACCAGACTTCAACCTCTCAACATATGAAAGTGTTTCTGCATCTGGCAGAGAACATTTAAGTCTTATTAAGCATTGGTCACACTCATATATTCTGATTTTTGTTAACAAACTAATCTTAGTTGTTGTGAAAAAGTGATGATGAGTTACATACATACATGTATTTTTATAGTCAATTTATTTACTCTACAGTGGATAAAGCTTAATGAGTTTTCCCCATTTTCTTTCTTTCTGTTTGTAGAAATCTATCCTGTCGGATAAAGAAGAACCAGATGGAAAAGAAGTAAACCAAGGTTGCAGCGAAACAAAATATCACCACATTGTCAGTGTCACCATGGAAACCCCTGAGCAATCACCAGTGCCGGCGGACAGTGAGATAATGGTTTCTCTTGAGCAGGGAAAAAGCTTCAGTGCAGATGATGAACAAGTATTTGTAGAGACAAGCTCGCCCAAAAACACAGAAGAAGAAAGGACAATGCTTGACTCTTACGCAGATGATCTGCAAACAGGAGCAGAAGAGATTGATAACCCTGACTTTCGTGACACTAGTGTTTCTATTGAGTTGCCTTGTCAGGATCAGGAGAAGGTTTTTGCATTAGATTCCGCAGATCAAGAGTACAGCAGAACTGGCTCAGTAACTTCTTCTGTTTCTAACACACAGTTCAGTGCAGAAAGTGTCTTTGAGAATGAAGTTGATTGTGAAACACAAGACACACACAAACAAGACCTAGAAGTGCAGAGCCCTAAAATACATCATTATCTCGAACAAAACCCAGAATCTATACCAGAACAAAACCCCAATGTTGAAAATAACCTTAAAATAGAGGATCACAGTCAGCCGGAGCCACAGGAGTACCCTGAGGTAGGATTTTATCTTCAGCAAGAGCAACATTCTGAAGTTGAATTGTATCTTGAGCCAGATGAAGTGCCCAACTTAGACCTATACCCGAAGACACAGCAAGACATGGATGTAGATTTTTCTGTTGATCCAGCGCAACAATCCTACCTCGAAATGTATTCTAATGATGATCTTGGTCCTAAAGATAATGAATATGAAATTGTACCAACTGCTGACACCGAAGAAACCCCAGACAATCAGGAAATACAGCATGAGTTGTCTATTTCACAAGGGTCACCTTTAAAACATTGTACTCAAGAAGCAAAGTCAGATGAATATTTCAGTGAATCGTTTCCAGACCTTGACCTGGAGGAAATGGATGAATTTGTGAGAGCTGAAATCGCAGCTGCTTCTCCAGATAGTGAGACTGATGAAAAGTGGAGAACTATATTCTCCTCTTCTATTAATAAAGAAGATGATGATTCATATTTGGATAGTCTTGAGTTGAGTGCTCAGGAACTCTTCGTACCGAAATTAGAGGATACAGAGTTTGAAGAACCAGACAACAACGTAAAAGAAGTGTCTTTTGAGGTTCCACAAGTAGAAGTTCTTGAACAACCTGATGAAATTATTTCCTTCACCGGCCTTGCACAAGAACTCAAATACAACCTTTTAGGTTTCCAGGGTTTGTCCAAAATCTCTGAAGATGAAAGCGAAAATGCTAAAGATATCAATCATCACCATATCACCCACCAGGAGCATAGCAGTGTAGATCAAAACAAAAAAATGCCTAAAGACTTCTGTGTGATACAGGAGACCAAGAGCGAGAATGTTAGCACAGAGCATGTTGACTTCCAGCTTGCTCAGAAACAGTGGCGGGAAATGGAGAAGCAAACCAAGAACAGGATCATGTTGCCTACAATCAAGCAGCCCAGCTTTCATGGCAGCCACAGTTTTATGTACAAACCAGTCCGCAAAATTGAAAGAGATTACAAGAAAGCACTTGATATGGAGAGTTTGAATCTGGTTGGGGATTATATTCACACTCAAACCAGCCCCTGCTCAGAGGATTCTGGGGTAGATGATTCTAGTTACAGGTCTCCCTGTGATGAGCCGGAAACCTCACTTAAAGGAGAGTTTTGTCAATCACTTAATAGGAATGACAATTTCAGGAGAGAGGAGTTGCTGTCTAGGATGGGAAAATCAACTGATTGCAATCCATCACGAAGTATGCCCAGATCCATGAGCACTCCTCTGACACCTCCATTTATTATCACGTCTTCGCCTACTAAGGAATCATTACATCATGAAGTGTCAGCAAACAATGTTGTTATACTTGATCCCAGCAGCAACAGACTTAGCAAAGACAGCACTGCAGCTCAGTCAGGAGAGTGGCACTCCGAAGGCCACAGTTCTAACCTCATCATCCTAGAGACATCAAATCTAATTATTCGCAGTGCCTCTGATTTCTCCCTTAACAAAGCACAAGAACCACAGCAGGAGAAAATGTTCCTAAATAACCCCTTTTTCAAGCTGCGGTCAAGAAGCACAATATCACTTGTAGACGAAGAGATAAAAATGGTAAATCAGAGGGAGGAAGAGTTGAAAAAAGAGAGAGCCAACCTGTACGGTCAAGACGTGTGGAATGCTGAAAGAACTTTGTCCAATCAAATGGACACCTTGGCATTTAAGACTCCAGGTATATCTACAAAACAATGTCAACATTTACATGTTTTCCAATGAATTCTGTTACGTTTAAACTAACATATTTTTTGGACATTGTTTTAGCCATTCCGCCTGAGAAGTGCAAGTCCTCTCCATCATCACCAATGAAAGTGGCCCGCAGGATGAATCGCTCTGCTTTGTCATGTGACCAGAGAGTAAGCAAAACCTTGACTATTGAAAGTCTTCATTGATATTCAATAGATGCAGCCATTTTGAAGTAAAAAAAAAGTGGTAAAAAGAATTAATTGAATTGAAGTTCAATTAATTGAACAACAAGTTCAATTAATAGTCAAAAAAAGTTTTGAAATGCCCGTGTCAACTTTTCTGACTTTAATGAACTGAGTTCAATGAATGTGATCAGACCCCTGATTTACTCATTCTTAGCATATGCCAGTATTAAGCATTAATGGCTGCAGTGCAAAGTGCCTATTTGGTAACAACAATGAAATGTTAATACATTTTCAGCTTTATATTACACCTGTTTATTTCAACATAAATTAATTAATTTCAACATAAATAAATTATTTAATCTATAAAATGTTGCACAACCTAATGGTGTTGACACTTAGACTTAGGTCTAACATAAGATGGTGCAGGTGTAGGGTTGCCAACTGTACACTGTTTTGACTGTGACATCCTGTATTTTGATCATAATAACTTTGTCCCATACGGGATGGCATATGCATTGCCTCTACATCTGGCATCTACCTGTGTGTAAGTCTTTGAATGTGTGCGACTGTGTACTGCATAGGTGTCCAAACTTTTTTTGGGGTACTGATTAAATACATGTAGCTCTGAGATACAATATCAGTCTATTTTTGCCATACACCAGGGGTGTCACACTCAAATTCACAGTGGGCCAAAATTAAAAACTGGGACAAAGTTGCAGCCCTTAATATTTATGGAAAAATTGACTGTGCAATTGTGCATATTTCCCCTTCTCTTCAGATATGTAATGTAGACTTTTTCATATGGAAACAAACGTTAGTTTTGCGTTAAAACTAAATATGGAACAACCAAAGCTTAATATTATAAACACATGAGAAATTACATTTTAAATAAAACACACATCAGTGGTATTTGTTTCTTATTATGTCTCTTTATCTTTAGCCCTTCAAGTTCCTTTTTATTTATTTTTTATTTTTTCAAAGGCCAACAACAAAAAAACATACATTGTTAGTACTACATATTCTGCCAGTATATAGTGGCTATATACTGGCGGGCCAACTCTAGTATTTGATATGACCTTGCATGCCAAATGTAATTACAGATTTGGCCCCTTTGCGATCTACCGGTAGATTCTGATCTACTTATTTGGCACCTCTGCTGTACTGCTTTGAAATGTGACCCTAGGACTTTTGTTGTTGGAGTGTGGTAATTGGTTACGGGCGTACTCAAGCAGCAGGTCAGGTCACACTGGTCAATGGCGCTTGTTCGCAGATTCTCGTTGCAAGAGCTGTTCTACACAAACATACAAGAGAAGCACTTTTATGGACCCTTGATATTTTCTTAATGATTAGGGATAGGTGCCTTTTTAGAGGGATGGTTGCCCAAAACAACATTCAAATGCATATATTAGTAAAACAGAACCACACCAAAGTGTCCCATATTTTCAGACTCCATTGTTGGAAACCCTACACTGGTGAGTCCAGGTGCTGTCATGGCAGCTCCACAACTCCACTTTACTTCTGTTGTATTGTTTGCCTCTTTTACTCCATCATCTTCTACAACTGAAACACACTTTTGGACAACTCAACACAAGAAAACCTGTTTGTTGGTTCGCACTGCTCCACCTGACCAAAGAAGATTCTCCAGGGTGCAACCCAGTGCAGTTTGACCCCCACAGAATAGAGAAAAGAGGAAGAAACACAGAGGTCGGCAAGAAAACCCAGGAGAAGCAAACTCCAACAGAAAGCACACCATCAATTGCTGCCCAGCCTCCTGCTGACCAATGTTTAGTCTCTGGACAATAAGCTGGACAATATCAGGGCCACAGATGGACAATCGGGATACCAACATCTTTTGTTTCACAGACAGGGCTGACTCCCAATATGCCGGACCATCCATCCTTTCATCAGAGGACTTTGCCATGTTTCATATAGACAGGCCGAGTTACTCGGGTAAAACCAAGAAAAGAGGTGTGTGTTTCTTCACCAACAACAACTTGTGTGACTCAAGGAATGTTTCAGTCCTGCCATGCTCCTGCTCGCCACATCTGGAGCACCTCATCATTATCTATCGTCCCTTGTACGTCCCCCAGGAGTTTGGCTCCTACCACCCTAGGCTGACACTTTACAACAAAAAGACCACATCCTCAACACCAACTCACCACACATGTGCATACTAAGTCCTCTGCTTAACTCACTATACACCCATGACTGCCAAAATTTAACGTCCAGTTGCCTAACGGAACTTCTTCAACTTTGACCATGACCTGGATGACTGAGAATCTTCATAGACATATCTCCAGTATCACTGTGAAGTTAGCATATGATACAGTGTTAGTTGTTCTGATCACCAAAAACCCCGGGGAGTTAGCCTGTCTATGTTGTTCCAGACAGGCTAATCACCCACTGTGCTGCTTTCACCACCCGTTCCGGGGTTCTTTGCGTCCTCTGCTGTTCAGCAACTGAACCACACTGTAGAGCAGTAGGGCAGAAGACTCACTTACCTGATGCTGCTTCAGTTGCATGGGGGTGTCTTCCTTCTCTGGAAGAGCAGGATAGTTGTGGGCCCCCCCTTTTGCGGTGGTCAAAGTAGGCAAAGAACTGGTTCAGGGAGTCAGGTGATGT